AGACGGAGACAGATCCCGTCTCCGAAACGTCGTGTTTTTTTTTTGTCTTTTATATACCAGATGATGGGTGAAGTCCAAAATAAGCCAAAAGAAGTACAGTATACACCATCGTGAGAATCCTTTCAAGTCTTTCTTGTTTTCTTCTGTAGGGTCAATGTTACAGGCTATGTGAATTTATATTCCTGGATTAAGTAGATACTATAGGGTTCTGACGATGGTGTATAACACACAGAGATACTGGGTTTTCAGACTTTGTCCATCATCCAGATTCTAAATAAAAACTTAGTTATTTAGAATCCAGACGATGGACAAAGTCCGAAAACCCAGCATCTCTGTGTATATTCCTGGATGTCTTCCTGTTAAAAAAAAGTCCCTGTGCTTAACTAATTAAGCACTATGCCATGAAGATGTATGGGGGAGTGGATGTATAGATCCATGTATTCTTAACCTAAGCATGTGGGAGAGGGTGGCAAACTTCCTATCCCTGTCACTATATACCCATGAAAGCACCCCTGGTATGTACTAGCTATAGAACCGGTGTCGACGATGCAGAAAATAGAAAAATCTTATCCCTACTGGGACTTGGAACTCAAGACTCCTGAACCATCCTGCTCACAGCCCATCACTACACTGACTGCGCTATCCTGGCTCCATATCAGAAACAGGTAATACAGCATGCACAGTGCAAGAAACAGTACTGCAACTAATATATATAACAACATTACTGCCTCTTGATGCACTGCAGTGCACTAACAATGCCAAAACCACCAATAAAACAACTTTTATGGCCCCCAGACCTGCTGTCAATCATGAAGGTTGATGTTAACTCAACTGCTAGAAAAAGTGGCACATCACTCACCCCAAGCCCTTTGAAGTCATGAAATTTTTCCAAAATTGTGTTTGATCAAACCCTAGTTCGCACACCTGACCCAAGGATTCGTGAAAAGTTTTCCAATTTCACACACATAAAAACGTTGACATTTTCCTTTTAAAATATTAAAAACATAAACTTATATGGTCCCTGATATGAAAACATGGCTTGCACTCTTAACTTCAAACTAAATTTTCTTGCATTCTGTAACAGGCTATCATTAAATGTTGTATAAAAAAGCTTCCACTAGTCAAGTATCAACCATCAAATCCATGAACAAATTCCTTAGCAAAGATCTGTAATGTAATGTGAGGTCTACGTACGTTTTGTATGGCACCGTGTTTCATTTATTGCATCCATGCCACAGATCATGTGATGCATGAGTGTATGCAGACAATAAAGGATATTTCTTGCTGATCAATGCTGAATGCAGTGTTTTCCCACTCATGCTTAGGTTTTACAAAACTGGCCCAATTTCTGTTTACCAACATTAGAAAAGGGATGTTTGGAGGCTATACAGGTATAACTAGCCCACAAGACACATTCACTTCACTCTGCAGACCCTAAATTGGACACTGACAGCACAGCCTTCAGTCTCAATCAGCAATCTTTGAAAAGCCGAACAAGTACTACTATTCCTTTCAGACTTCAACATTTCATGGTATGCATGAAACAAAAAAATATGTCTTTCACTAATACCTTGCAATTATGATTTCCTTGGCCAGCCCCTTAAATTACAATTTTTTGCCTCTGTAGTCTAGTGGTCTGAGTTCCTGGCTACAGATCCAGAGGTGCCGGGTACAATTCCCAGCGCTACCAGATTTTCTGAGTAGTAGTGGGTTTGGAATGGGGTCCACTCAGCTTAATGAGGATAATTGAGGAGCTATTTCAAGGAAACAGCGGCTGTGGTCTAGAAAACAGAGATTAACAGCCATGGGAATTCGTTGCGCTGATCACGTGACCCCCTCTATCCACAAAAGTTCGCACTAACTTTGCCAACATGTGGCAGTCACTCGATCAGTATAGTTCACTTGCAGACTACAGGCCATGGAGTTTTTTTTTTGTTGTTTTTATTGATTACAGCCATCAACATTGCCTCTGATTTGTCCACCTGGAGCAACAGATGTCCCTTAAAACAAATGGCTCAATGGGTTTAGGACACTGTGGACCAGAATATGGGTACTACAAACGCATCAACAATGTTTTTTTGTTTGTGACCTTCTGGGTTATGACACCACACAGAAACAAAGACTGCATCCATCTTTGTGTGTCCTCAAGATGGAGGCAACAGGTTCCTCCAAAACATTAGTAATTCTTTTTGTCTTAAACCAGAACCCCACAATCTACAATTGTTATTGTAGGTGCTTTATTTATTTATTTTTGGATGCACAAAGTCTGGTTATTTTGTGGAAAAAAAAAAAACAAACAAAAAACACATCAATTTCCATTCTTTATATTTCATGTACTGCATTTTACATGTTTTAAATGAATATGCACAAGGTGATTGTTCAAATTTGTTTAAAATCCTATTGTACCGAAGTGGTGCCTTTCTCAAATTTCTGTATTGCTTTTCAAAGCGTATGGTCCTCTTGTGTATGTTGCATTTTTTTTCTTCACAAAAATAAACATCTTATTGGGTGTTTCTGTAATGCATGACTCTGATATTGCTTTGCTCTTCGAAGATAAACTATTTCAACCACTGACAATTCATTCAACTAGCCATTTTGACTCACTTTTTCCTCTTATATAATTCAAGACTGGAATAGAATGCACTCACTTAAAAAAACTGGAATGGAGCCTTTGTAACTAAGTTATTACCACTGAACAAGTTTAGGAATACAGTTACTATCACTAATTTTTTTCATTTGTAAACATTTTAAACATTTTTTTAAACATTCATTTTCATGAATGAGTTTTTTGTTTTTAAGTGTGTAATCAATCAGCATTTAAAGGCAGAGGTTGGCAAATTATCTAAAAATCAACCATATAAGGACTAAATATATCTGTTACATACAAAATTTCCAATTTAAAAAAAAACCCCTAAATTATTAAATCTAATTTCCAATACTATCACTTCCATTCCTGTAAGTCATCAATCACTGTAAACAGTACGAATTATATTCCTGCTTCCAGCATAACAGTACATATGAAATCCTTATTGTGCCACAAAGTTGTATTTTAGAGTTATTTGCAAACCTTTTTATCAGACATGGGAAAACATGTTTAAACCACTTTACCATTTAGGAGAAATTGCAATTAGATGCACAGTTACTCTACTTAATGGAAACAGTTCATCTTGCCACTTTTAACACTTGCTGTGATGGGAGAACTTAAGGGAAATACAAGATAACATAGTTCTTAACACAAAATGACAATCAAGAACTTATCCTATGCATGATTATAATGAATACATAGATAATATTTAAAAAGGATGAAAAAACTTTAACATGCAGAAAATGTAAACCCTTACATGAGAACATTTCAGTATATTTAAATAAATATAGGCTTATGCACCTAGGTTATTGTGTTGACCTTTACCACACACCATACTGCCCACTTCAGCAAGTCTGTCTTCCTAATATTACAGCCACATGCATACTCTTTAAGTACTAATAAACAAAAAGTGGACACAATCTCTCAGTACCACATCACTAGTATTTTATTTGGAACAATGAACATATTAATTACCGAACAATATCTTTTAAAAGGGAGGAACCTATTTTCATGTATAGAGAATAAAACAGATAGGAAAAGGTGTAATCCCTACCATAAAATTTACATTATCATCTTGCATGAATCATACATATTAAAACGCGACAGCGTTCGCTGAATCTGTGTCAACATCCTTTACAAGAACATGTATAAATATTGTGTAGGCTTATCAATACAACTACAATTTTTAAAACCAACATACTTACCTGATGACCAGAAATCAAAAGGATGTGCAAAGATCAAACATCTCCTACTAAAGTATGAGCAAAACTCTTATTTATAAGATCTAAACCTCACCCATTACACAAACAATGCTTATATGAAATATAATGAGGCAATACTACAGTAGCATAAATTCATACTGAGTTGAGAACTAACAATTTCACTGTTTGGTGATGAAACACACAACAAATTCTTTGAAGTCAATATTTGCACATAAAACTCTGTTCCTGGTTAAAAGTGGCAAGAGAAGGATCAATCCATCATTTGGCACGACATCTGAGAAGGTTCGTCTGTCGAGACTGATGCTTGGCTACTCAATGGAATACACCATGTACAGGTTGCAAGCATCTGTGTTACTTGGGATCAGCTGGTGGCCTGGTGGCAATGTTGCAAAGCCCAAGAACATGAATGTCCGCACCAGCAGTGCTGCAAAAAATATTTCAATACTTAGTATTATGGGTCCATATAAACGTGTCACTAAACGACTACTGTTTGAGGGTTATTCTGACACTTTCAGTACCCAGACTATGCAACATCAGATGGTAGGATAGGAGACAGATAACTAACTGGAAAGGATTTGGGAGGAAGTGCTTGTTGCCTACCTGAAGCACTATATAGGTATCTGCATGAAGGGGTTGCTAGAAGACCATCTTATAACACTGCTGCCAAATATGTATGTGTGTAAGGGTTGGGCCATAAAATCCAGCCCTCCCACCGCAACCTTCAATGATCTATTGTGCTTCCCCTTTGGATTAACCCTTATTAATCCTACACTTCGAATTAAATGTAGGACTTTAATTAGGGGGACAATATTAAAATGGTTCTTGGAGATATGGGATGGGGTAGGATGGTATCGACTGGATTGATCTGGCTCAGGATAGGCACCAGTGGAGGGCTCTTGTAAACATGGTAACGAACCTTCAGGATCCATAAAATGCTGGGAATTTCTAGAGTAGCTCCACAATTGGTGGCTTCTCAACAAGGGCTCAGTTCCGAGAGTGACTGAGTACAGGATACCACTCACATCTTTACAAAAATTCACAATTGGTGTTTCATTTGAAGTCACAGTTGAAACTGAATATAGACTACAACCAAAAATGGACAAATTACTTTACTGCCATTAATGTTCAATTTCTCAGCAATTTGTGTCACCTCAAACGATTTCTAACTTGTCTGCCCTTGCAATAGCTCAAGCGGTTAGTCGCAATAGCTCAAGCGGTTAGTCGCTGGGTTCCCACTGCAGCAGTCCAGGTTCAATCCCAGGTCTAGTCAAGTGGGATTTGTGGTGGACAAAGTGGCGCTGGGGCAGGTTTTCTCTGAGTACTTCGGTTTCCCCTGCCAATCTTCATTCCACCGAATGCTCCACAATCACTAACATCTGGGGCTGGTACAATAGGCCAGAAGTGGCCGCAGTACAAGGGACTTAGTCCCACCCCACTAGCATTAAAAAAAATTACATATGTGCTACAGAATGGTTACGATAAATACATTATTTTTAATTTGATTTGTTTCATTCTGGTCCGTCACACTAACTAGTTATTTTAATGTATTGGAATAGCCACTGTAGTTGTAAAAACTTTGGATTTTGCACCCAACTGCATATTATTTATATTGTATGTATATATTTTAACTTTTAGAACATGTACCATAATAGTGGCTTCTAACTGTACTGATGTAAAGGTGTCCCTCTGAAGACCAAAACATAAAGGGCATGAATAACTGATTTAAAAAAAAAATCTTAACCAGTAACACTGGACAGAACTACATGGTGCAATCTGAAAGTTCCCGAAATATATTANAAACATGGTAACGAACCTTCAGGATCCATAAAATGCTGGGAATTTCTAGAGTAGCTCCACAATTGGTGGCTTCTCAACAAGGGCTCAGTTCCGAGAGTGACTGAGTACAGGATACCACTCACATCTTTACAAAAATTCACAATTGGTGTTTCATTTGAAGTCACAGTTGAAACTGAATATAGACTACAACCAAAAATGGACAAATTACTTTACTGCCATTAATGTTCAATTTCTCAGCAATTTGTGTCACCTCAAACGATTTCTAACTTGTCTGCCCTTGCAATAGCTCAAGCGGTTAGTCGCTGGGTTCCCACTGCAGCAGTCCAGGTTCAATCCCAGGTCTAGTCAAGTGGGATTTGTGGTGGACAAAGTGGCGCTGGGGCAGGTTTTCTCTGAGTACTTCGGTTTCCCCTGCCAATCTTCATTCCACCGAATGCTCCACAATCACTAACATCTGGGGCTGGTACAATAGGCCAGAAGTGGCCGCAGTACAAGGGACTTAGTCCCACCCCACTAGCATTAAAAAAAATTACATATGTGCTACAGAATGGTTACGATAAATACATTATTTTTAATTTGATTTGTTTCATTCTGGTCCGTCACACTAACTAGTTATTTTAATGTATTGGAATAGCCACTGTAGTTGTAAAAACTTTGGATTTTGCACCCAACTGCATATTATTTATATTGTATGTATATATTTTAACTTTTAGAACATGTACCATAATAGTGGCTTCTAACTGTACTGATGTAAAGGTGTCCCTCTGAAGACCAAAACATAAAGGGCATGAATAACTGATTTAAAAAAAAAATCTTAACCAGTAACACTGGACAGAACTACATGGTGCAATCTGAAAGTTCCCGAAATATATTAATAAAAACGATTACGTCTTACCTGGATCTTAGTCTGCACCATCACCTTCAAAGTAGTCCCCTTGGGAGCGCATACACCGATCCCAGCGTCTCTCCCACTTTCCAAATGCATCCTGGAAGTCTTTCTTTGTTAGGGTGTTTAGTACCGTCTGCGTTTCCGCCAGAATTTCCTCAACTGTATAAAATCTTCGCCCCTTCAACTTGATTTTCATCTTGGGGAAGAGAAAGAAGTCGCATGGAGCTAAGGCTGGCGAGTACGGTGGGTTGGGAACAACTGCCATCTTGTTTTTAGCCAAAAATTCCTGCACAGTGTAAGCCATGTGCAGTTGTGCATTGTCATGGTGGAGTACCCAGTCCTTCGTGCACCACTTCTCTGGAAGTTTTCTCCTCATGTTCTCCCTCAAACGCCTTAGAACATCGCGACAGAACTCTTTATTGACTGTCTCTCCAGAAGGGACGAACTCCTTATGAACAATCCCGTCAATATCAAAAAACAGATCAATGTGGACTTAATGTTGCTCTTGATTTGACGAGCTTTTATTTGGCCGAGGTGAAGAAGGGCCCTTCCATTGCGACAATTGCTGCTTACTTTCAGGGTCGTAGCCATAAACCCAACTTTCGCCACCAGTGACAACCTTCGAAAGAAAGTTTGGATCCTCTTGAAGCTGTTGCTGAAGTTCCCTGCAGGCTTCCTGGTGATGCTGCTTCTGTTCATTTTGCAGCAGTCGTGGCACAAATTTTGCCGCAGTCCTCCTCATGTTCAGTTCCTCTGACAAAATTCGTTGACATCTACCATAACTTAATCCCAAGGTGTTACAGAGGTCTTGGATGGTCAGTCTACGATCTTGCAGAATCAGATCCCTAACTTTCGTGACATTTTCTGGTGTTTTGCCCTTTGATGGCCGTCCCGAACGGTCATCATCATCAGTCAATGTTCGACCATTTTTTTGAAACCATTATAACAGTTGTAAGTTTGTGTCTGGTGTAAACTGTTGTCACCAAAAGCTTTTTTCAACACTTGGTGCGTTTCTGCAGCAATTTTCCCAAGTTTAAAACAAAACTTTATACAGACACACTGCTCTCTCTGATCAGCCATCGCAAAACCACAAACTCACGGAAACACAACAATGGAAATACGTTCACCAGCAATAAACCCAATCACTCAACTCAACACCGCTTGCCACACTGATTCAAGAAAGGTGTGTGGGGAGACCCCTAGCGGTATTTTGAGGTACTCATAACCATTCGCGCGCAAAATTCAAATTTCGGGACCTTTTGGATTGCACCATGTATTTAACTTTTTCATAACATTATTTTTACATTCTCTTGTGCTAGAACAAGTCTTGAAAACCATGTTGGTCGACAAGTTTGTTTAAAAATGCAAATGTAATACCAACAAGAACAAATTCACACTGAATCATATGACAGCTAGCTAATGTTAAGAATTTGTATTTTGTTAAGATACACTGAAAACCTTAACTCTATTGGCAGACTAAAATAAGCACAAAATGTGTTTGTTAAACAGAAATGTTAAATGTAATAACTGACCTACATATTGCATGACATTTTGCTAAGTGAGTGGTATGACCGTAACAAGAGCATTTTCTGCATGCGCTTCCTTGTCTTTTTCAGTTTGTACTGCCACTTCCATTGATGATTACAGAAATGAAGTACTGACGAGGAGTAAGCATAACAAATTTGCAACAGCTCCACTTTTTTCTTTGTCTTACAGAGAATCCTTTAAGACCTGTCACTCTCGTGGGAGTCACCAACCATGTGGAGGAGTGAGGTACATTTTCACAAGGGCAATACAGCAATTAAAATGAGAATGTCTGAATTTTTACACACCAAACTATGAAACAATATATCTGAAGATATATATATATATATAGAGAGAGAGAGAGAGAGCAAAACTGGCACACTATATATATGAAATCTGTAGAGGACAAGGCAAACCTTCAATGCTCCAGTATCCTTAAAAAAATTAATGGGAAAATTAAGTGTAATGATATGTACGAGTTAACAGGTGTCCACTAAAAACGGAAATTGTAACACGCTGAACATGGCTATTTGGTTTCATCATACAGTGAAAGCTGTCATATCAGGCACTTCTGGGACCCAACACTTCCCAGATATTGTCATACCTAATATATATCTTAGTGTGCCTAGTAACCTGATGTACAGAGCAGCCTCCGTAGTCTAGAGGTAACGTTCCCACCTCATGACTCATAGTATGTGGGTTCAAATACCCGGCGGAGGTCGTCAAATTTTTAAGGGCAGAAAAATTCAGGGAACAAGTCCTCCGGGAGGGACTTTAAGCCGTGGGTCCCGTGTCGTAGCTTTACGGCACGTAAAAGAACCTCATATATCCAAAGGAGGTCACTGAGCCAAATTACGGACGTTTCCCGCCCAACAGCAGTCTCTAATACCTCTGGTAGATGGGGGAAGCATTATAGATACCACTCAGCTAGTAGAGCCGGTCTCGCTGGCTGCGCGGGACTGATGGTAAGCACCAGTACCGGTAGGATATAGAGACTGGTAGAATATCATAGAGGGAAGCACAATGGACCAAGACAGGTCTAAGTGCATGGGGAAACCCACCCTCTCCAATAACTAACTAACTAACTAACTAACTAACTAACTAACTAACTAACTAACCTGATGTACAGACTTAAGCACTTTTTCATTTGATACACTGTCATGTGTTCCCTCCTACACTTTCTATTTCTCACTCTTTAGCCTACATTCCTTATTTTGAAAAATTAAGAGGATGCATACAACATCACCTTACTGTGTCCCCCTAACTTTTTGGGTTTCTATGCGATCCGTGTCATATCAAAAGGAAAGCAACCAATTAGTTCTTTCCAGAACCTCTTGTAATCATCATATTCTTCTTTTAGTCACTTTCCGGCTATCAGAGTCTTCCATATCATCCAGTGTCGGATACTGCAGCTTTCAATGTTATCTATATTCCAATAATTATAACTCAATTAACTTACAAAATATTAAATCAATACTTGCTTAACATGATTATGTGTGCTAATGACTTGTTTAAAATGGAATACTATTGTGACATGGATGGTGCAGCGGGAACTGAGGGTCGCATGGGCTCTGCGGTCTCGCAAGTGACGTCACCCCCCCCACTCCTTCCATCAGTGCGCTGTGCTCCATAAACACCCCCTCCCCCACGATGGCGTGGCAGGGGAGTGGCTGTATCAGGCGGCCATTGCCGCAGTGACGTAATATCACTTCCCACAGTGATGTAACAAGGGATACCACGGTTACTACACAGCAGTAAACAACTCTCGAGAGCATTGCTAGGCAATCGATAAACACGACATTAAGCAACAGTGGTACCTATCACATAACTGTTTTCTGTGTTGTCCGTGCCGAGGCTAAATAGGGAGCAGTGAACACTATTCAGTAGTGAGGACTGAGCGAGTTACTAGTGAGTAACAATTAACCAGTCAGTTGCAATCTAGCAGTCGATGAGTCGAGTTGTATCTAGTGCATTGCACTAACTACAGGAGAAGTATTTGTGATCCTGCCGATGGCAGCAGTTGTAAAACTGTGAACTGTATAAGTGTGACAGCGAGTGTTCAATAAATTCGCTATGCCAGACAAAGCGTGAAGTTACTTGTCGCATGCAATATACCCAACACATGAGAAGCTATCGGGAGTGTGTGATACAGTGACACTGGTATAGCTCCCGTATTGTACTGTGAATAGGTGAAGACTAGTGAAGATAGAGTGAACAGATTATTGTGTAGGGTTTATAAATTGTGTAAACCCACAACTGTTTTACAATTAATTGTAGTTACAATTTGTAGGTTGTTAAATAAACCAATTAACAATCCAAACGGCGTCTGTAGAGACAAAACATGTTACAATATGATAACATTAAAAAGTTAATATAGGGTATTAGAGATGCCATCAATACCTTGTTGTGTTGTTCACTTTTATAAAATAGACAAGAGAGACATGAAAACTACAAAAATTTATATTCCTACTGTAATACTCCATTTATGATGTAAAATAAAACGTACCTCTGTCATTGCGATCTTTTTTGAAGCACACTATGATATGGGTGCACCTGAGCACTTCCTCTGCATATTCCAACAAGGACAAAAACCTGCCAACAAACAGTTCCATCCATATTAATCACTCTTGTATATACACACATCTCAAATTCATGGATAGCAGTATACAGAGTGGCTCAAAAGTCAGTTAACCTTTGTAATAACAGGATGGTATATTTACACCTGCCAGTCAGTTTGCAGAACTGTATCACAGCATTGTGAGTTGTGCACTAAACCCGGAGGATCTCATCAAGGTAAAGCTGTCTCTGTGCTTAATTAATTAAGCACTATGCCATGAAGACAAATGAGGGAGTGGAGGTATTGCGCCACAATTCGTGACCTCGGCTTCACAACCTGGTCACTTCATCCCTGATACCCATTTGATAGGAGGCTGTGGAGCAGATAAAAATCTTATCCCTACTGGGAATCAAACTCTAGCCATCCAGCCCGTAGTCTGTCCCTATACAGACTGAGCTATTCCCACTCCTTGGAGGATTTAATTTGAAAGAATTTTTGTAAATTCAGCAAGTAATGAAGAAATTCCCAACATACTTTAGCATACATTTTACTAACCAGTTAACAGGCTTTTGGGTCACTCTGTACTTAGTTTGGTTCAGTCTTGTTTTCCCCACATAATATCTCCCTTCAATAAAGAGTCAATTTCCACTTTTCCATACCAATTATGCTAATGTTCATGCAAGATCTGAGGTCCTCATGATGGTGTATTTTCACACTGTGGTTTTCTGTGGTGTTAAGCTGTGCAGTCTGGTAGATGGTGACCACTGTTTCAGACGAATCTGCCTCTATCTTCGGGATAGAAACTCTTCTTACCCTAACAGTGGCAGCAGGTTTGTCCAAAACAGTGGTCACCATCTACCAGACTATGTGACATCATATCTCAGAATATTGCAGTATTAATGCCATGTCAAATTCCCCCAATTTAAAAATACCCTCTCTTTAGTGTTTCATACAGAATTGTGACAGTCGCCAAAGTATCTACAACGTTTATTTAGGTGCGTGTTAAATGTGTGAGTTCTTACTCCAACTGGAGCCTTATCAATGTTATGAGTAGATCAGGGGGGTATATATATAAAAGTAAACTGAAAAAAAAAGGGGGCAAAAAGAGAAATTACTTAACAGAACAAAGAACCTGTTCCCACCTTAACAGAGAAGAGTATCGACCTGTATATCTTTCAAGAGCTAAATTTCTTTGATTTTTCTAGCCAAGTCCAACATGTACTCAATTCAGTTTCATGGTAATGAACAGTTTAAACGCACACAAAAGGGCACAATAGTGTCAACAAATGTATTTACAGTACCTGACAATGGGTATAAAATCTAGGTTACTGGTTGAAAAAGGGGCATTATCAAGGAAGATTACTTATAGCATTTCTGAGCATTACAGCACACAAAAGGTCAATTAAATGCAAGTAATGCCATTACACACTCACTAAGCACTGAATAATTAACGGTTTGTTGCATGAGCAAACCATGTTCAATAACTTCCAGTACTAAAGAAACAATATTTTGGGAATCAGTATTTCTCTCTCTCTCTCTCACACACACACACACGCACACGCACACGCGCGCGCGCACGCACACACACACACACAGAGCACTGACATTCATTATCAAACAGTCTACTTTAATTTCTCTTCTAGCTTAATTTCAGATCCAAACTCACCCTTCCTTGGAGCCCTCAGGCAGAAGACATGATGGCACCTGGATGTACAGTCGGTGCTGCCATAATACAGTCTCCCAAGACACCTCAGTGTTCTCGGTCAGTCGAAGCAGAAATGTCAAACGTAGAGATGGCTGCTGCCCAGCTGCTTCCAATAACTCCTTCTCCTGTAAGTACAGACACAGTGCTTGATAATCTCACAGTCTAACTTACTCCTTCTCATCATCACAACAACAACATTATTGTCATCGCTGCAGTCATCGTCATTGTCATCATGGTTTGGACCTTCTAATGTTCTGTTCCTTTGTAGTAGTGTTTCTCCACCGATGGGCCACGGTCTGGTACCAGGCCCTCATCTTATGAAAAAAGAATTTACCAGGCCATGGTCTCACAAAGGCTGACAACCACTTCTCTATAACATAGGTTGATCCTTCCAGCATAACTTAAGGCATGCAGTGGATAATTCACCGATATCGAAAATATCACCTGCCCTCATATACATGGATACAGCTTTCATCACACCTGTTCTACTACTAACTAGCAATGATGCCTCATACAATTCTAGCTTGCTAAGCTAAAGCTATCCCTGTTACAGGCCATGGAGGCCCATAGAGTTGTGAGACGTTGAGGCTCCCAAATTATCTAGATAATCGGGCTCACAGGTGGCAGTGAGGTTGTCAGCCTTACACGCCGGCAACCCTTTACCCCCCCCCCAGAAGATTACTGGTACTCATTTCTGTTAGAGGCTGAGTCAACCCCAGGGCCATAGTGCAGATGGAACGATTAGGTGAACTGAAATAAAAAACAGCTCATTGGGACTTGAACCCGCGACCTTCCAGCTTGTAGCATAGTGTCTCAACCAACTACACTACCGCATCATACAAATCTGTTGTACTTAAAAAGAAAGTGTGCCTGTGTCATGCAAGGCCTGTTCCACCCATTTCCATGACTTCAGTACCGAGAGAGAGAAAAATAGGTGACTGAAACTGAACCAATCTCTGTGATCACGCACAGCGTTCAGAAGTTTCACTGAAGGTTACTTTGCCATGTAGTCTGACATATGTTTATCCAATACATCTACCATACTACATGACATAATGGCTGAGAAGACTTTGCAGTCACTGTCATGGGAATCAAGTCATCTGTTTCACTGGTATCACTTCATGCAGAAAACTTATAAAACACAGTCCCTTCTAAATACTTCATTTTGTTCACATTTCCAAAACTATGAGTTACCATCCAAAAATTTCAGGGCCTTACACTAGCGTTGCTCCTGCCCCAAGATTACATTTCTGACTGGTATTCATTTTGTTCACATTTCCAAAATTATGAGTTACCATCCAAAAATTTCAGGGCCTTACACTAGCGTTGCTCCTGCCCCAAGATTACATTTCTGACTGGTATTGCTGATAGTAGATCTGGGCACCAGAAATACAATTTAACCTACATTAAATTTGTGCTGTGGATCTATACACCCACTCCCCATACACCATCATGGCATAGTGCTTAATTAGTTAAGCATTAACTTTTACTTTTTTTAAATTTGTGCACAGTGATCTGTTACATCAAAGGTGAATTTAAAACCTATATCTGGAGACTACTTCTGTCCCTAAAAGGTAAAGGCCATGAAGGCATATGGGGGAGTGGATGTACAGATCCAAATTTTCTTGACCTCGACACTGGCTGGAGGTGAGTGGTCAGCTTCATGCCCCTGCCACTGTACCCTTCAAAAGAACCCCCCCCCCCAATAGGAGGTTGGGTTGACTGCAGAGCTAGTCTGCACGACTTGGAGAAGAGAAAATTCTTGCCACCGGGACTCGAACTCAGACTCCTCGGTAGTCCAGCCCGTAGCCAGCTGCTATACCAACTACACTATCCCGGCTCCTCTTCTGTCCCTACCATCAGCATTAATGGTAGCCATTATCAGGATAGTGAAACATGGTGACTTGATGTTGGGCCCATCCCAGCTGAATGAAACATTGTGTGCTGACAATGGACCCAGCTGAATGAAATGTGATGAACGTACCTTAATGTTAACTTTAAAAGGGTTAATTGAACGCCTCTGTGGTCAGAGTTCCTGGCTACCAGATTTTCTTAGTATTAGTGGGTCTGGAACGGGGTCCACTCAGCCTGATGAGGTTAACTGAGGAGCTATTTCAAGGAAAGACCGGCTTCGGTCTAGAAAACCGAGGTTAATGGCCGTGGGGATCCGTTGTGCTGACCATACAACACCCTCTATCCGCTAAAGTTGGCATTAACTTCGCCGACAAGCGGCGGTCGCTCGGTCGATATAGTCCGCTTGCGGACTACAGGCCACGGAGTTTGTTTCTAAAGGGTCAATTAACCTTGAACTTGTACATTGCTGTAATGTTCTAAAGATGGAAACAGAAGTGTCAGATGTGGAATTTGGGGCATGACTACAGTGAATGTCTAAACCACTTTTATTGCATCCTGAATGAGGGCTCGGCATGTAGAAGCATGAAAGATATAAACACCATACGTACAGTAACAATTTTGTTGTAGTTTTGCGGTTGGCTCACAGAGAGCTCCTTTGGTTTCCCCACGCCGCTGCCCTCTGTGCAGACTGGAGACACACTAAACGCGGCATGGGGGACATCAGGACCACCACTGAGGCCCTGCCCCCAGCGTTATACAGTACTGAGGACATGCCTCACTCTGTTCACTGCAACAAAAACACAACTACTTTAATGTATACATCTATATAAGGATGGGAAAGCAAATCCTTGTACGAGGACAGCCTCTTCATAATGTTTCATGTTAAAATGATGCTGAATACTGTATTATTACTAAATTACTGGCAATATTTATACTGAAAACAGAAATAAATAGGGTGTGTTATAAAGTCTATTATATTATACCTAATTAATTCTAGCCAGTGTTCTTGCATAGCTTCATTAAACACAAGACCTATTCACAAAGCTAAACATGGTAATACCGTGAGTAATAGTCCATTCCTAGGCAACAGCTCAGTCAACACGATCCCGCGAAGACACAAACTTGGTAAACAATCCGTTGCTGGGATATTGAAGCACGTTTTCCGCAAATACGGTGTTCTCGACGTGTTTTCTGTGCGTGGGACAACGAAGGTCGTTTGCAGTCAGTGCATATAATCTCGTGTAACCTTCGATATGAGGATCACATGGAGACTGCACATAAAATGACTGTAGCCAAGGTTTTCAAAACATTTATTAAAATCTACTCTCTATTCAAAAGTGAGCGTTGAAGCGCTAATATACTGTATTATTACTAAATTGCTGGCAATAATCATAATGTGGTGTGGCACCTAAAAGCTGGATTATATGACGTCCATTGCGATACAACGGTTACAATAAGAATGCATACTTCGGTGGTAACGAATACATAGGCAGACCGCTACAGAAACTGCCTAGGCAACAGAGACAGAACTGTTGAGTTCCCGCAGCAACGGTTACGCTAGCCAACGCTGCGTCGAAGACAGAGAGAACCCTGGGACAAGGAGTTCTCTCGGCAGTACGCGAAGATCTACTTTAAGAGGGTAGATTGCGACAGTCAGAGAAACCCGTGTGAAGGCGGGGTCGAATGCCTCCACCGTGACCTTGCGAGTCGTAGGAGGCGACGAAACGGGAAGTCTCAAATCCGAGACAGTTAAATATGGTCACAAGTCCCAAGGGATTCGGACCCGAGGAAGACTGCCCTGGCAAGGGCCAGCAGCATACACAAAAGACAGACCCGCCCTCTTGTGAGAGAGGGCGCCCCACAAAAACAAGACCGTAACTGTAATAAATATCTGGTCATGAGCCCCAGGTGGGGCTCGATAAAAAGACTTACTTACTGACAAGAGTGAGTTGGTACCCGTGTGGAGGCGGCTTCGAATACCTCCACCGTGACCCTGTGAGTCGTAGGAGGCGACGAAAAGGGAAGTCTCAAATCTGAGACTGTAATATATGGTCTCGAGTACCAAGGGACTCGGACCAGAGAAAGACTGCGCTGGCAAGGACCAGCAGCAGAGAGGGCGCCCCACAGAAACAAGACTGTAACTGTCCTGATGGCCCCAGATGGGGCTCGACACCAAGACTTACTGACTGACCGTCAGTCGCAATGTGACTTTGACTTTGACAGTCAGAGGAGTAATCAGAGACGATGGGCTAGTCATGTCGCATCGCCTGGAAGATGTGATTGGAATTGCAGCCGGGGACGAGTTAAACAGCTTCGTCTAAAGCCGCAACCCACTAATTATTAGTCATGGAACCCCGGACGTGACAATACTGTGACGAATAGTTCATTCCTAGGCAACGGCTCAGTAAACACGTTCCCGCGGAGACTTGCTGCGAAACGCAAGCACATTTTCCGTGCATAAGGTGTTCTCGCTGTTTTCTGTGCGTGGGACAACGAAGGTCGTCTGCAGTCAGTGTAAAATATCTCGGTGTAATTTTCGACATGAGGATTACATGGCGACTGCACACAACAGAAATGACTGAAACCAAGGTCTTCAGAACATTTATTAGAATCTACTCCCTATTCAAAAGTGAGCATTTAAGCGCCAACATTAAACACTCCACAACGCAATGATCAGATCAGTATTGACTTCTGCGTGCCACTGCAAATTTTCCAGGGTGCACCCCGGTACATGATTTCCACACAGCTTTCAACCTTCCGTACGTATACGATTATACACGTATAACAAAACTGTGCAGGCAACAAGCAGATCTTACAAATTCATGAGAATGAGCATGTTTGAGGTACTGGACAAGGTGAGGCCAGACACAGAAAAACGTTAAAGAGGCTTAAACTTGGCGGTGGTCAAGCTTAAGACCGTTCAAGTGACTAAGCTGCCGTTGTAGCATAGGTCACGTAAGATAGGCACAATGCGAGGGATTATGTATAGTGCAAAAGGAATAATTTTCAACATGCTATATGCGGGATACGTACACTTAACGAAAGTACCAGCATATTCACAAGAAACGCCCCCATTTTTCGTTGGCGAGGATATCCCATAAGGCCTATTATCGAAAAAGTTCAGCTAAAAAAAATCTTCGGTCGTGGGTCTCAAGGGGCCTGGCGCCATGACGAACTGGTGGTAAACCGCCAGTCGTAAAGGAACCCTGACTCTGACTTTGACTTCGACTTTGCAGCCAGTGGCAGACGAGATGTATAATGGGCAGAGATCTCGGGGGGTCAAGGTTGAAGTGTTTGGCTGAAGAATGATTGTGATTACGAAAGATTGTACAAGAAGGTGTTAATAAATCCAATCATTCAATCTAGAACCCGTTATTATTAGTCACGGAACCCCGGACACGTGACAATACGTGCCTAGACTAGTGTTTCTGCCTAACTGTGCACCAGAGAACTGAAATTCCAGGGCTCCAGGAATAAATTGCTGTCATGGCTAATTTTAATACGAATTATATGCTAAAAAAGCAGGATTCTATGCACCTTAAGATTCTGAAGGCTGAGTCCTCCAAGTACCCATTCAATCCTTTAAAATCTTTTGTCATGCTCATTCTGACAGTCATGGGATTCAATTCCAGACCAATGCGGGGTTATTCATAAGTTCCCGCCATGTTAAAAATACCACATTCCAACAATCCCACGACGCAAGAAGCTATAAATATTTCAACTCGAGATTTTAATGGGAAGCAACATATATGTTTTGTATTATGAACTTGCGCTTTCTCCCATATCATTTTCTCAAGTCCTACATGTTACAGAGAGGTGAATGGCGTGTCTAGGCTGACCTTTGATACAAGAACATGCACAAAGAGTCAACTGTAAACCACCCACTTTACTTTAGCCGCTACATTTCACATATCCACTTAAATATCAGCAGTCGCAGAACACACAATGCAGTGAAACACAGAGATTTCTCTCATTCATAACCCATGACTTATGTACATATAAGTACATAATATAGTAACCCAAAAAATCTCTCTCTCTCTCACACACAACATTCTACATAAACTGCCGTTGCTAGGCAAAGCCTACAACAATACGTGACAACACAGTAACGGCACTGTAGAAACCAGTGACCTCTCTACGGGCGGTCGTAATATAACTTCGACTTAGACGATGACTTTAACCATATACAGCGAGAAATGTACGCCAATAAGATAGTATAGAAGCGGAGAAATCATCCACCATCCGAAGCGCTACTACGCAACGACTAACGAAGGCACAACAGACTGAAGTACGGCCGGGTATTCATTATAGCAACAATAAATATTCGTCTAGAAGTTTAATAGGTGGTTGTCTCTATAAGCGTCGACAATTCCAGGTTTTTTTTAGCTTTGTTGACCGGGTCACAGCGACCGGTGCACCGACGGCTGCGAGGCGCATAGGAATTTTGGCGATGAATCATTATGCCTGATAATCTTTGGAATGAAGATAAGTTATTAACTCTGTGGACGGCTTGACGGCATTATGTTTCACGGCTAGCAGTACGGTACAAGCGTGGGAATTTGTTTTTAATTTATCAGCTCCATTAGCGGGTTTTCCTCAGTTACAATTAGTAAGCAATGTGTTCCTTCACGGTGCGATACGCGTTAGAGCAACCTACGTGAAATACGGATCTGCCTATGAAGTGTCGGTGAAAACTTCCAAGCAAATTTCGTGATGAGAGAGTTCCTAGCTAACAAACGACTGATAATTTGGCGAATAAACTTAGATCAACAGGACTCTTAACAGACAAGAAACAAAAACATAACCGCCGAGTGCTTACTGCGGACAAGTTAGATGACACAGCAGCCAGACTTGAACATACACCTAGAAAATCACTGAAACTTCTGGCGGAAGAGACCGAAGAACAAAGTCTAGTGCACGAAGGACAACACAACTGCTGAACCCTCTAAAACAACAGAAATCAACGCACGCCTAGCAGCCGTGCGATCCAGCTAGCAGTTGCTTTCTACAGTCTGTCGCCGAAGGTGAGATCAATCCGCAACTGACATTCTTTTGTGATGAAGCGTGGTTTCACTTGCAGGGATACATAAATACGCAAAATAATCGCTACTGAAGTTCACAGAATGCACATCTAACCCACGAGGTCCTGCTCCATCCAGCGAAAGTGCGCTGTAAGTGCAAGGATTGTTGTACATGTGCTTCTTAACGAAACAATTAATTGCTAAAGATATCTAACTGTAGAGGGACAGCATTTTCGACACCTCCTGTGAACTGTAACTACTACATTCCGAACATTGTTGGCCATACAGGCATACTAATCCATCGACAAAATTGGTATGCGCATCGCAGCCGGCGGTGCACCGGCCGCCGTGAGGCGGAGAGCCGTGGAACCGGTGAACAAAATAAATACCCTCACTGTATAACAGTATTACAATTATTTATAAAATAAAGGTAAATCTGTTCCCTTGCTTAATTAATTAAGCGGCACGCCATAAAGACGTATGGGGAAGTGGTGGCATGGCTCCACCGTTCTTGACCTTGGCACTAGATGGATGTGACTGGTCAGCTTCACGTCCTGGTGACTTTATGCCCGGGGAAAAGGGCCCCCAGTACCCACTGAGTAAGAGGCTGGGTGGACTACAGACCTGTCTGAACGCTGTGCAGAAAAATCTCTTGTCCCTGCCGAGAACTGAACCCCGGCCATGAAGCCCGTAGCCCAATACTATACCAAATAAGCTATTCCGGCTCTCGT